TTGTATTAACTCCATCACATAGATCATTTGAAGTGTATTCAACAGTAACATTCAAAGTGACACAGGCTCGTACACTTATAATATATACTAAATATGTATATTGTTTCTTGGTTAGTAATCATATAATCAATATCAATCTATCAATCTATTGCTAAAACGTGAATGTAATTGTAACATGATCAGACAAAATAATCTATTGGTTATTAATGGCAAAAGGAAAAAAGAAATCACAAAAATGATGTACATGGTCTTAATTTGCTTAACAAATCATGATAAATGTATTTTTCTGTCACACATGTAAAGTAATAATGAATATGCATGAGATGATTGGTTTCAATTGGTTTCAATTGGCCCTATTAGACTTTAATGGGATTTCAATTGGACCAATCTGCCCCATTAGACTTTAAAAGGTTTTCGATTGGTTTCAATTGGACCAATTGAAGTCCAACTTCAGGCCAATGGGGTCCCATTAAAGTCTAATGGGCGTAGGCCAATGGGGCCAATGGGCCCAATTGGTTCAAAAGGGACAATCTGGACCAATTGAAACCATCTGAAGTCCTATTAAAGTCCCATTGAAACCTGTTAAAACCTATTGAGACCAATTGAAACCAATTGAAAATTCAATTGGTGTTCAATTAGTTTCAATTGGATTTTCGTCTTGGGTAGTTACAACAAAAAAGTGAGTTAGTGGGGCTGAAGATAAGATCACATATGGCACAACAAAAAAGTTTGAAACAGTCCGTTAATTCCTCAGTCTCCTCTTATGTAATAAATTCCTCTTATGGTACCAGTTGAACTTGAAGCAAATTGTTTGGTTTGACAGAAGCTAAAAGGACAATTAACAGTGTTAATTAACACAGGAATTTACAAGATCATGGGCTCAGCCTTCAACCTCATATGGTACTGCATGTCCTACAAAATGGCCGCCTTTAGCCTTGCTTCAGACTGTATAATTTCCCACATTTCTGTGGCAGACCTGCCGCAGACTGTTCCTGTGGCGTACTGGTATGCGGCAAGTCTGGAGCAAAGTTTCGCCCTGCCGCAGACCGTTCCTGTGGCATACTAGTATGCAGCAAGTCTGGAGCAAAGTTTCATCCTACCGCAGATCTGCCGCAGACTGTTCCTGTGGCATACTAGTATGCGGGCGGCAAGTCTGGAGCAAAGTTTCATCCTGCCGCAGATCTGCCGCAGACTGTTCCTGTGGCATACTAGTATGCGGCAAGTCTGGAGCAAAGTTTCATTCTGCCTCAGATCTGCCGCAAGCTGTTCCTGTGGCGTACTGGTATGCGGCAAGTCTGCAGCAAAATGTCATCCTGCCGCAGATCTGCCGCAGACTGTTCCTGTGGCATACTGGTATGCGGCAAGTCTGCAGCAAAATTTCCTTCTGCCGCATACTTCGGCATACTCTTTGCCGCAGACTAAAAGTCTCTGCGGCAGGTCTGCGGCAGGTCTGCGGCATACTTTTCACTTTCCTATGGGTACATTCTAAAGGGGAAAACGAGGCACTTCTTGATCATTATGTAGCGCCTCTTTTTTAGGGATCCAATATTACATCATATCACCTCTTACACACCCCCCCCCCCCCCTTGAAAAAATCCTGCGTACGCCACTGGTTACATGGGATGTTGTACAGAACCCTCCGAGGAGTCTTTCATTGTGCGCTCATCCTTGGGATGCACTAAGGAACCACGTAGTTTTTGAGAAGGGTGTTGTCGTGGTGGCAATGTTGTACTTCTTGAGGACCCTCTGGAAGCTAGCTTCTGATGTTCCCTTGACCTATGATGGTAACCATGTCATCCAGGGGTTGTGGGTTTCATGGCTGCTTCCGTTCTTCTGAAGACCCATTAATCCGGGTAGCCACACCTCTTAAGGCATGCTTCGATGTGGTTGCTTTCTGTCTCTAGACAGTGTCTGTGAGTGGAGACTTGGCATCCCATCGAGGCTCCGAACTTCTTGCGGTAGATCTGACCATCGAATTAGAAATAGGTGGTGGTGACAGTGGCGGATCCAGGGGGGGGGGGGCCGCCCCCCGGGAAAAAACGTGTAAAAACACGTGATTTTTAGCCCTTTTTGGGGATGCCCCCCCCCCCCCCTCAGGGGACCAAGGGTGGGGGGGGGGTTGCAAATTTTTAAATTTTCGAGGCCCCCCCCCCCAAAAAAAAAAAAAAAAAAAAAAAAAAAAAAACTGTGCTCACACAGCGCTAATATTGCTGTAAGTTGGTATTCTGAACCTTGTTGTATCCCTGTGTTATCTCTTGAAGGACCGCCTCTATCTTATCTTTGATCACTTTTGACACGCCCATCTTTATGGACCCTACCAATCAAAATCTGTTTTATATAAGCATGATAAGTAGGTTAACCAATATGAATACTTTATGCCATATCAGAAGATGCGCCTAGCGCATACTAATCTTGGGCGTAATTAGTTAATTGAGCGCTTATTACGCGTGTCATCATATGCGCTGTGGTATGAACACATGTTCATGAACATGAACACAAGTCACGCTTTCACTTTTATTGGTATGATGAGAGCATTAAAATCGTCATATCCTAGCTTGTAATATCTTTAAAAGTTCTCATCTGTGATGTTTCTGGTCAACACACAATCTTCTTCCAACTCGTCTATTGGCACGTAGTTTGTTATGGGCAAGAAAGATTGCCGCCATTATATCACCACAACAGATACAACAACCCCCTGCCTGTTGTAAATATTGTTGTAAATATCATACATGTGAAAAACCAAAAAAAAAAACGGCCTAAAAACCCTCTATCCGGCGATGACTTGTCCAAATAAAAATTAAAAAATAAAAATAAACAAAAGAAACAGGTTAGTGTCACACTCTTCTTCAGTGGCCAGATGTGAGTATGTGACAGATGTTAAAAAAAAAATAAAAAAAATATTAAATCCGTTTCTGATGCAGGCACACATAAGGTGGTCTGCATCTGGCCAGACGGATTTCAAACTAACCTGGGGCGGTATTCTGAACCCTGTGTTATATCTTATATTGTTGTATCTTTGAAGATAAGATAAAGTTGGTATTCTGAACATTGTTGTAACTTTTGTGTTATCTTTTGTTGTATCTTTTCTCTCATCTTATTGGCCGCGCCTGCGCTCATACTTTGGTGCGCTTGTAATTGTGCGTATTATTAATAAAGTGGTATTTAATTCTCATTTGCATATGCGCAGGGGAGATAATATGTCGAGATAATTGGTATGCTGAAAGTTGTTGTATCTTTTATCTTATCTTATCTTGCATGGTATTTACCAAAGACGTTTAAATATAATTACTAGACGGAAAGCAGCACGCGCGGAAACCATGCAGACGAATGGGATTAGGCTCCGCCTCTTTTGGATCATTTGAAGACAAAATAAGCTACCGAGGCGGCTTTTTGATTGGATATGAGCCTCATGAATATGTATTTTATCGATAGTATCGTATAAGAAACCGGATAATATATTTGACCTCATTGCGTCACTTTAATTATGCAGATTTATGCACGACGCTACTACACTCGCACAAACTGAGAAGAGTTTAGTTCATTGAGAATGGGTGAGTAATTGATTGAAATATGAGTAGATTAAGTGAATTTAGTCATCAATTTTGAAAAAGCTGCAATAGTCTTCGTGATGTACGGTAATTTCGTTACATTTGGAGACAGTTCTCAACAGATTTTTGGGGAAAAGACTAGTAAAATATTGCTCTTGAAATTGCACTTTGATTTTCATCGTCATGAAGTAGTTTGACTGCGGCTTGCTGTCATTTCACCCTAGTACTCCAGTTAGGGCCCCGAGGGGTTCCGGCAGGCCCACCCCGGGGAATTTTGGTGCTCATTTGCATCAAGATCAAACTTTCTAATCAAGTTTTATTTGAGATTTGATCGTCATCATGAATCTATAATTCACCAATCACCGATTTAATTTAAATCTAGATTTAACGTTATACCTTAAAGTAATCTACGAAGCATGATTTTTTTGATAATCCAAGTGGATTAATTCTTGTTAAAATCTTTAGTAGGTCTAACAAAGTTAGATGTGGACTTGTGGCTTTACTTATCAATATCGGTGCCATCCGTTCGCTCAGTTGCATACGCGGTGCGTGTCAACTTTATTTAGACCAAAATTATCTGTGACCATTGATAATCAAACAACTCCAAATCCTATTCATTTAGATGTAAGCCTGAAACTTATTAATAAAATATAGATCTAGACCTAGACCTATTTAAAAAACATCAACACTAGGATTTGTTTATTTAATATTTAGATTTTGTGTGGGTCCAGCGTGCTTGTCAAGTTGTCTAGAGCCTAGATCTAGACCCTAGCTATCAGTGGCGTACGCAGGATTTTTTCAAGGGGGGGGGGGGTTTAACATTTTGAAATCGGGCCAAAAACTTTGCAACAACTCAGCCAGCCGCTGAATAAGCGGGGGGGGGGGAGTCATCTTTTTTAGGTCATCCATTAGGATTTTTTTTTTTTTTTTTTTATTTAAAAAAAAATCAACACTAAAAAAAGGGGGGGGGGTTCCAGAAAAAACATACATATAAAAAAAAAGCTCAAGGGGGGGGGGGGGGGTTAACCCCCCCCCCCCTGCATACGCGCCTGACCCCTATTAATTCTTTTAATATATTAGAGATTTTTTTTCTTCTCCAAATTGTGCAGTTCATGTTGATAAATCTATTTGTTTGTGTAAGAGAAGACCCCTACTAGTCCACAATTATGTTTACTTATGTAGTCCAATTCTTCTTGTCTTAATAAACCAATTTTACTTGAGACTACTTTATATGTATAGGCCATATAAAGCACTTCTTGAAGCACAAGTTTAATCTTCCATTTAATTTTAATTTGTACTGTGGTCCATTAAATTGGAATGTTGATTTCCACACCATATTAAAATTAAGGCCAACCATGACATGAAAAATAGTTAATATGCTAGATCTATTTTATTTTGTTATGGAGAAAGGGACGCCTTGATTGTCATATCGATTTTTTAAAATTTTTTGTTCCAACAGAATGAAACTGATGAAGATCTGGAAGGAGTTAACTGATGAGTGGACATTAAAACATTTCTTATATTTGCAAGATGAAGCAGAAAGTCCCATGCAGGTAAAATGTTCAGGCTATTTAGCACACAAATATTAAATGACCACCTGTTAATTCACTAAAAAGGAAATGGAACTAAGTTTTTGTTGACAGCATATATTGTGGAGGTATATTTTATTCTAGTTCTGCACTTAGCACACAAATATTGATATCTTTCCTTTCTTTGTTTACAAAGGAAATTTGTCCTTATTTACAGGAGGTCCTGTGTGTAAAAGAACCATATCTAATGCACATTCAAAGCACTACATGATCATACATGTAGGGTATACACAGAACCCCTCATCACTTTTTTTTGTAAGTGGTCCTTTCACTTCTTGAGCAATTAAGATGACGAAGAACACAAAATAAAATTAAAGAAAGTCTGTTAATAGGATGTATTATGGTTGATGTATATCCATTATTATCGCTTTTAAATTGAAGTACCTACATTGTTTTCTCTCATGTAGGATGATGCTTCTCTACAGTGGACGATGAAGGCATGCTGGTTTACAAACTCAGGAGAGGAACAAAGAACAGATATTGACGGATCATATCTAGAAATGCGGGCCTACTACACTTCATACAAGCAAGTGTGCTAATATACATGTAGGTACCCCAAATAAACTATTTTGGAATACATATCATGCAGAAAGTTATAGATATGACAAATATATTTTTCATTGTCCGTTGACTTGTAAAAGAATACTTGACTGAATATCACAATTGTGATTTAGATTAAAAATAAAATGTCAATATAGATGAAATAAAAGTCTACATAACGTATGTTTCAATAGCATTATTTCCAGTACATTCTCTGTTCCAAGTTGTTTGGTCATTTTATGTCCCATACTTAACTGAGTATTATTCAATTATGAGCACAAGTTTACATTACAAGTACATTGTACATGTATTACTTATTTCATACCTTGTCTGATCCAAGCTCTAGCAGGCCTATCGTCTTAATGGAATCATCAGAAATAATCTAACATGAGCAGTAACTAGTCTTGTAGGAAAAATAGTTTAGGTTTGCCCACTAGAACTCCAAGTGAATTTTAGTCCTTCCTCTTTTTTGTCAGGGCAGGTATCAGGGTGTATGTTATTATTTATTAATCGTTGTTGATTTTCTTATACACTGTATCTTATTTTATTTTTCCATTCAACAGACTTGGGTTATCATTACAGCCCTTTCTTCTGAAAACTAGGCTACAACTTTATTGATGAATGCAGAAGACATCTACATGGGACTACCTCTTAAAGATGCCACCCTCATATAATGAAAGAGGACAGTAGAGATGGGTTTAAACTTGAACATTTACATACTATTCATTTGTTACTTGTATTATATGTTTGTAGAATACCACATACAAAACTAATGAATTTATCACCTTGTCAACATTCAAATAATTAAAGATAAACTAATCATCAGTGAATAAACATTAACATTTTAACAATGTCAACTACCATCTTATAGGATGAAACTGAGGACTGGGCAGAAAGAAATTTCCTTGAAAATTGAGTGATAAAGATCAGTCTAAATCAAAGATTGAATTAATCAATGATATTTTAATTGTAATTATACATGTTTAAATTCATTTACCTCTATGGACTTCTGTATTAGAAGTTTTTTAGATTATTATATTATTGCTGCTTCAAGTATTGTATGTAAGAAGGTTTGAAAGACAACCCTCTAAATGCACTAAATATGAAAACTGCTAATCATCCATGCCTTTCGTATCCAAACTGCTAATTTTAATAGAATCATGTTTTTATACTTCCTAGCTAAAGAAAACATGGGGGGGGGGGGCTTGCTATCCTCTTGTTGTTTCTACATGGACCATGTAACAGGTTGCAAAAGTGTAAACAATATTATGTTTGTTATATTAGTTTATATTAGAAGGATTTAGAAAATGAAAACTTTTGAATTATAGAATTACTGTTGCTAGAAGTAATGGCAGTATTGATTTTTAAGGGAAGGGGGTAGTTTTCCCAGAGAAATTAACGGTATACCAATGTAAAATTAATACAAAAGAGAAAACTATTCTTAAAAATAAAATTAGAAAGGACATGGGCCTCCTAACTAAAACCCTGGAAACACTTCTGGGTCTTTTTTTTTTCAAATTCGAAATTTCCAGTGTTAAATTCCATTGTCTTACAAAAAAATTATGTCAAGATGTTGAAATCAAACAATGTTTCACTTTCCAAGTTAACAAAATTGAATAAAATAATTAACATACTTTCCGGTCTCTCTGGTCTCTAAATTAAAAATGTTCAAAGCTCCTGCAAAGGTTGCAAAAAGGAAAAGTGAAGAGAATCCAATTGAAATGTGGACAGTAATGGAGTGAATATGGAATGGTTGATCATAGTTGATAACGAGTGCATGTAAATGAGTGGTAATAACAAGTACGACTAAAAGTGAGACGGAAAAGAACTGCAACAGGTTATTTAGTCAAGACAACAAACCTTCAGTTGCAGAAGATAATTTACGAAAGATAGAGAAAGAGAGAGAAAGGGAATCATTAAGGTACTACGATGAGAGTGGGTGGGGAAAAAACATCCACTGTGCCACATAATTTGTTTGTCTAAAATAAGGAAACTTTATACATGAGCATATTAAAAATGTAAAATCATAGCCAGAGAATGTGTTGTTATATGGCTTATAGCATGTTTGATTTAATAAACAAAAACAGACCCAGTTATTGATAGACTAAAAAGGGAATAGATCGATCGACACAGTATTTCTTATTCAATGAAGTTAAGGCCACTCCCCCATATCGCGATGCATCCTGGGTATGAGGGGTGGAGCTTAGCAAGCCTGAGATCTGTGAAACTGGATGGTTATTATTATTTTTTGGACAATAAAGAGATTTTCAGAAAAATTTATGCTGGAATAATAATAATTAGAGGTGTAATGATGTTTTCAAAGGCTACTTAGTTGGCGTAAATATTCAGAAATGAATTATACACGCCATTAAAACCTTAAAAAAAAAAAAAAACACACAACAACGAGTGGAACTTTAAGGTCCATGCACTTCCCGATGCATCCTGGGTACACCAGCTGTTATACTGGTGAACGATAATACAAGTTCGAGCGCGTATTTCACCTAACGGTGATCGCATCAGAATATTCCACGCTGATTCGCTGAATCACTTGCGTTGCTAGCGCGCAGCGTGATGAATAAATTACCCATAATTCCGTACAGTAGATTATTTGACCTTTCTTATTACGCTGATACGCGCATTGTCTTTTACCATGTAGTGAACATCATTCCAGTACACTTTTCGCGGGGAGCATCCTACAGAATGCATAATTCATAAGGCTCATGAATTATGCAAGGTAGCTTATTTTGGCTTCTAATGGATCCGGACAAAATGGCGGAGCTTGGGGGGCCTGGTATTTACAACAATATTTACAACAGGTAGGGGGTTGTTGTATCTTTCGTGGTGATATAATGGCGGCAATATTTTTTGCCCAGAACCAACTTCGTGCCAATAGACGAGTTAGAAGAAGATTGTGTGTTGACCGGAAACATCACAGATGAGAACTTTCTAAGATATTACATGCTAGGATAGGACTATTTTAATGCTCTCATCTTAACCAATATAGTGAAAGCGTGATTTGTCTTCATGATCCACATTCAACAGCGCATAATGATGACGCGCGTAATAAGTGCTCAAATAACTAATTACGCTCAAGATTAGTATGCGCTAGGCGCATCTTCAGATATGGCATAAAGTATTCCTATTGGTTGATCTACTTATCATGCTTATATAAAATAGATTTTGATTGGTAGGGTCCATAAAAATGGGCGTGTCATCAATGGTCAAAGATAAGATAGAGGCGGTCCTTCAAGAGATAACACAGGGATAAAACAATGTTCAGAATACCAACTTACAACAATATTAGCGCTGTGTTATCTCTGGAAGATACAACAAAAGATAACACAAAACTTACAACAATGTTCAGAATACCACCCCTGTTTCTTGAATAATGCGTCTATGTTGTTGCTTCAAAACTGCGCAGCTAGTGATATGCTGTGCGTATGTAGCAACGACGCGTTGTCATGTCTGATTAAGTAGATACAGGGCGTGTCCACTCTCGCTCATCCTTCCTGAGCCATAGATGAAATGACGCCTTTACTGCGCATGAGCAAGAAAGTGACACTATCTTGTTTCTCAGCCTTGCGCCCACACCAATTTGACCGAGAGCCCGGAGGAGTGTGTTGTTGGAGAAACCACGACAACCTATTTCTTTGGGCCAAAGTTCAATTCTCCAACCGTTCTGCTCAGCCTCTAGGAGTAGCTCTTCGTATTTCCTGCTCTTCCTCTCGTGAGCTCACTGCATATTTGCCTCATGAGGTACCGTCAACTCCAGAAGAATTGCCCTCTTTGAAGTAGGGGACCAAATTACGACATCAGGCCGCAGGTTTGTCACGACAATGGCTGGAGGAAAAATCAACTTCTCCCCCAAGTCGATTCGAATGTTCCAATCGCTAGCTCCATCAAGACAAGTCCTCTGCCTTCCTATAGACCTTCTGCCTGAAACGTTTGTAGCCTCTCCTTCCCTGACGAAATGGATAAAGGATGCTTGTGTTTGGGTCGGCTTTTGATTGTGTTCTGATAACCTCGTCTTCAAAGCATCCCCGATGATACCCAGTACACGGTTGTGACGCCAAGTATACCGGCCTTGTTTAAGACCTATCGGGCAGCCAGCAAGAATATGAGTAGTCGTTCCTTGACACAGCTTGCAAGATAAGATAAGATAAAAGATACAACAACTTCCAGAATAACAATTATATCAACATATTATCTCTCTTGCGCATATGCAAATGAGGATTAAATTTTATGAATAATACGCACAATTACAAGCGCACCAAAGTATGAGCGCGGGCACTAGGCGCGGCCAAAGAGATGAGAAGAAAGATGCAACAAAAGATGACACAAAAGATATAACAATGTTCAGAATATCAAATTTATCTTATTTTCAAAGATACAACAATATTAGAGATAACACAGGGTTCAGAATACCGCCCCAGGCCACGTACGACTTTCCCTACCCGGCGGCTTGCCGTGGATTTTTTAGACCATAAGGGACCCTTCCGATTTTAATTTCTACGGCATGTGCGGTCACATATAATGAGGCGCCCGGGAGGTTCCCGGTAAGAATTGGTCGAGTGAAAATGCAAGTTGCCCATAAGCTTGCCGATGTCCGATGAACAGGTGCTCCCTATGGCTCCCGGGGCCTGGCCGGGGTCCTCAAGACGCCCGGCTGGGTGCCGTGCGGTGCACTGAACTATTTTTCCTCGTACATCCGCGCCTCCATTGAGAATTGACAGAAAAAAAATCGTGAGGGTTCTGTCCGGGCAACGTCCGGAGCTCACACGGTGCGCGTACGGTGTCCCACGCGCCCTTTACGGGCTTTCTACGGCCTGTCAGATGAAAACGCCGGTAGAACTGGGAGCAGCCAACTCAGCACCACGGCGCCCGTTCGGCTGGTGAAAAATGTCCCATATTGTCTCATTTTCGCTCGCTGGATGTATATATCAGACGGCAATCGGTGGAATAGACGACACTTGGTAGTGAATTTGTATGTGAGATTGCTTAGCTATACATAAAATACAAGAACATTTTCCATATCTTTAAACTATCATTGATATCTGATAATTAAACAGTTAGTAAAATAAACCTACCAAACTACATAATACAATGACATAATTGACTGAAAGTAGGGGAGTTTGATGATGTGCACAATTGCACCCCTCAGTTAATAATCGAATAGTCCATGGTGTGTCATGAATATTCATGTTTTTGCTTACATCGGCAAAACGTTTGCCCATACTAAATGGATAAATTACGGTGGGGGGGGGGGGGGGGGGGTTGGCTGAAGTGGACATAATGAACCGAGCAGTACTGATCTCTGATAATTCATGCTTCTCATCCTTCGTGTGCTTGACCTATAATCTTACAATCTCGTGGTAAATTGCGTCCAAAGTTCGACTTGTTACACATGCGTTATATATGCAATGGCGACCTATTTTACACAAATTACGATGGGTGAACTTTCAAAAGTCAATGGGACATGAGGGTTCCAATGAAAGAGCTAGTGATAACGTACGTCGGTGGTTGACCTTTTCGTTTAAACAGTAAATGAATTTTTAACGATTTTGGGGGGTAAAAGTCCATAGGCTAAGATGTTAGGCTGCTGACTCTGACGA